GGCGGGGCTGGCGGTGGATCCCGCCGTGCTGCTCGTCGCGGTGGGCGTCCTCATCTTCCTCATCACCTTCTGCGGCTGCGTCGGCTCCTTGCGGGAGAACATCTGCCTGCTGCAGGCGGTGAGTGCCCGGTGACGGTGGGTGTCGTGTTGTTGTGTCCCCGCTCCGGGGTGTCCCCACGACATCTCTCCGCCGCCATCATGCTCCTCTCGCCCTCGCAGTTCTCCGTCTGCCTGACCATCGTCTTCCTCCTGCAGCTGGTGGCTGGTGTGCTGGGCTTTGTCTTCTCCGATAAGGTACCGCCAGGGTGCAGGGGGAAGGGGGAGCAGTGCTGCAGGGGGGGGTCTGGGTGACCCCCCAGCCTGTCCCGTTGGGTGACAACCTTGCCGGTGTGTGTCCTCCCCTGGCTGTCCCCGTCCCGCAGGCCCGTGGGAAGGTCAGTGACATTGTCAACGCCGCCATCGTGCATTATCGGGACGACCCGGACCTGCAGAACCTCATCGACTTCGGGCAGAAGGAGGTGTGGGGAGCCGGGGGGCGGGGGGTGTCACGTGTGTCCCCACCCACAGGTCAGGTGTGGAGGTCGTGGCTCTCGCTTTAAATCCATGGGGTGAGGGTGTCTGGCGGCTCCTCCACCAGGGGTTCGATGTTGGTGGTGAATCCCTGGATAAAAATTGGAGACAATGGGACAGTGTTTACGTAGGGCCTACTAAAACTGAAGTGGCTGTTGAAAGCCAGCGGCGCTGGGGCGAGCGGGGTGCAGGGGGGGTGGTCTGGGGGGGCTGTCACTCACTGCCTGTTGTCCCAGTGTCCCTGTGTCCCCCCCTCACAGTTCAGCTGCTGCGGGGGGGTCTCCTATAAGGATTGGTCCCAGAACATGTACTTCAACTGCACCCCCGCCAACCCCAGCCAGGAGCGCTGCTCTGTCCCCTTCTCCTGCTGCCTGCAGGACACCCACCAGGTGAGGACGGTGTCCTCGGGGCTGGGGAGGGACACCCCGGGGTGCTCTCAGGGGACCCCCTTACTCTACACCTCTCCTCCCATCCCTCGAGGCTGCGCTGAGCCTAGAGCCCCCCCACCCCAGGAGGGTGTTGATTGCCAGCTGGCTGAACAGGAGCCAGCAGTGTGCCCAGGGGACAAGGAGGCCAATGGCATCCTGGCTTGTGTCAGCACTGGGGTGGCCAGCAGGGACAGGGAAGGGATCTGAGCCCTGGGCTCGGGGAATGGGCTGCCCAGGGCAGGGGGGAGTCCCCGGGATCCCTGGAGGGGTTGAAGAGTCGGGCTGAGCCAGCGCTGAGGGATCTGGGGGAGTTGGGAACGGTCAGGGGGAGGGTCATGGTGGGGCTGGAGGAGCTTTGAGGGCTTTTCCAACACAGATGGTGCTGGGATTTTGTGAGAGGGAACCCACCAGCAGCATATGGCAGCCTGCACCACCTGCTGGCTTTGGGGGTGCTGCAGGGGGGTTCGGGGCGGATTCCCCCTGGGTGGGGTGGGGGGCTGGCAGGCAGCAACGCTGTCACCCCCCCTTCCCACTCAGGTATTGTCCCTTGTGGAGGCTGGGGGGGTTTAGGGGACCCAGCAGTGGAGGGATAGGTTGGGGACACCAAGTGCCCAGAGGAAGGGGACACCTGAGCTCCTGTTCACTTACCGCCCCCCCCTCGCCCAAAAAAGCAGGGACCCCCCCAGCCCGGTGGGTTTTGTCCCCTCCCAGGCCGTGGTGAACACCCAGTGCGGATGGGGCGTGCAGGCCCGTGGCTACCTGGAGGCCGGCGCCGTCATCTACACCAGTGGCTGCGTCGACACCCTGGGCAGCTGGATCCACGGCAACCTGCTGCTGTTGGGGGGCATCGCCCTGGGGCTAGCCCTCCCCCAGGTACCACGGCCATCCGGCCTCCCTCCGTCCTTCCTCTCTTCCTCTTGTCCGTCCTCATCTCTTCCTTGTGTCCATCCGTCCTTCCTCATCTCTTCCTCACATGTGTGCCTACATCCATCCTCGCGTCTCACCTCATTTCTCCCTTGTCCTTCCTCATCTCTTCCTTGCATCCGTCCTCCCTCGTTCCATCCTCACCTCTTCCTCATGTCCATCCGTCCTTCCTCGTCTATTCCTCACATGCGTCCATCCTCACATCTGTCTTTCCTTCCGAGCGTCCCTCCTTCCTCATCTCTTCCTTATGTCTGTCCTCATCTCTTCCTCGTGTGCATGTGTCTGTCCTTCCTCATCTCGTGCCCATCCTTCCTCATCTCTTCCTCACATGTGCGTGCATCCATCCTCGTGTCCATCCTCATCTCTCCCTTGTCCTTCCTCATCACATCTGTCCTTCCTCATCTCATGCCCATCCTTCTTCAACTCTTCCTCATGTGCATGCCTGCATCCATCCTCATGGCCTTCCTCATCTCTTCCTTGCATCCATCCTCGTGTCCGTCTGTCCTCACATCCTTCCTCATCTCTCCCCCATGTCTGTCCATCCTTCCATCCTTGCATCCTTCACCTCTTCCTTGCATGTGTCCTTCCTCACCTCTTTCCTCATGTCCATCCATCCTCCCATGTGTCCTTCCTCATCTCTTCCCTGCATCATCTGTCCTCCCTTCCTCGCCCCCTTCCTCATCCCTTGTGTCCATCCTTATCTCCTCCTTTCCTCCGTCTGTCCTTCCTCACCCCTTCCTCGCCTCCTGCTCTCCTCAGCTGGTGGGCATCCTGCTGGCTCAGATCCTCATCCGCCAGATCAAAGACCAGATCAAGCTGCAGCTCTACAACCACCAGCACCGGGCAGACCCCTGGTACTGAGGCCCCAGCGTGGCAGCAGCTCGGGGAGCCGTGACCTCAACGGTGATTTTTTTTTTTTTTTTTCCCCCCCAAACCCTGGATCCCTCAGAAGAGCCAAAGGGGCTTTGCTGAAATAGAGGGAGGTTGGAGCGGGACACCTGGAGAGGGGTGCTGGGGACTTTGGGTGCCAGGTTTGCCGGGACGTGCTGTGCTGCCGCGTGCCGTTTGGGGGACAGAACTGACCATTTGTGAACTGCTGTCTGTCTGTTGTCTGTCTGTCTGTCCTGTCCTGATCCACACGGCCTTCACCCCGGGGGGGCGAGGTGGGAACTGGGGACGTTGCCTCCGTCACTGGGCTCCATCTCTGTGACCCCGGGGGGACGCGGCCTCTGGCCTGGCCACCCTGGAAGAAGAAGGACCGTGAGGATGTTGCTGCCCAGGGCTGACCCCAGTGGGAGGGGGTTCGTTAGCAGAGGGTGGGGGTCCCGTCACTATCGTCCTCGCCCTCCCTGGTGCTGAGCCCCGTGTGCAGGAGGGGACAGGCACCATCCTGTGCCCCCCCCCGGGACATTACCCTTCATTTTTGGGGAGAGACAAAATCCGGAGCCCGCTGTCTCCGTGGCGGGGGACACACACGTCGCCTTGGCCCCCTCCATCACAACAGATTTAGGCTTCGGGGCCCAAAAAAAGGAAGGAGGTGGGGGGCAGCACAACCAGCTGGTAGGCAGCAAAGAAGCCCCCACCAAGCTTCCTCATCTGCCCTAGGGAAGAGCCTGCAAGATTTTGGGGTGTCAAGAGCTGGGGGGGCGCTGCTGCCCCCCACCCCCCCATCAGCATTGTGGGCTCCCGGCGTTGCTGCTGCTTTTTGGAGCTGTTGCAAACTGTGGGTGGAGGGTTTTTTTTTTTGTGTGTTTTTTCTTTTTTTTTAAGTTACTTCTTTCTGCTCTTCGGGCTGGGTGGTCCCCTCGCACCGCCCCGCCGCGGAGAGAGACGGGATGCGGCCCAGCGCCGGCCCTTTGTGTGCGCGTCCCGTGTCCCTCTGCCACCTCCCTGCGCCCCCGCGGTGGCACAGGGCTCTCGGGGACACGGTGGCCACGCTGGCCTGATCCTGCCCCAGCGTTAGGCACAGTGGCCCCCAGTCCCCTCCAGCACCCCCCAGCCAGAAAATGGTCCCCCTGCTGTGCCCCAAAGAGTGATGTTCCCCCTCCAAAGACTTTTTACCCCCAAAATAGCAACATCTGAAGAAGTCCACACATTCCCCCCCCCTGCCAAAAGGAACTTCTCTCCTCCAAAAAGGAGTTTCTCTGCCCCTAAAAAGCCACCTTGCTCCCCTGCCAGAATGGAGCTTGTCACCCAAAAGAGTGTTTCTCCCCCCAAAAGCGATTGCTTCTCCAAAGAATGTGTCCCCCTAAAAAGGGATCTTTCCCCCCCCCAGTAGCTTTTCTACCCCAAACTTTCCCTCCAAAGAGCTACTTCTCCCCCAAAAATCAGGTTCTCTCCAAGAGCGGCTTTTCCACCACTCCGAACTGACTTTCATCCCCATCAAAAAGCTGGCTTTTATCCCCCAAAGCAACTTTTCTCCCCCCCCAAAATGCCTTTTGTCCTCCCAAACTGACATTTCCTCCCCCAAAAGCAACCTCCCTCAAAAAAGCAACTTTTCTCCTCCAAAACAGACTTTTGTCCCCAAAAAGCAAATTTTCTCTCCCCAAAAGTGGCTTTTGTCCCCCCAGACTTTTTCTCCCCCAAAAGTAATTTCCCCTCAAAAAAGCAACTTTTCTCCCCACAAAAGGGACTTTTGTCCCCCCCAAGCAACTTTTCTCACCCTGAATGGCTTTTATCCCCTCAAACTGACATTTCCTTTCGCAAAAGTAACTTGCCCTCAAAAAAGTAACTTCTCCCCAAAAAGCAACTTTCCTCCCTTCAGCAGTGGCTTTTGTCCCCCCACACTGACCTTTCTTCCCCCTAAAGTAACTTTCTTCTCCCCAAAAGGGACCTTTGTCCCCAAAAGCAACTTTTCTCCCTCTAAAAGTGGCTTTTGTTCCCCCAAACTGACTTTTCCTCCCCAAAAGTAATTTCCCCCTAAAAAAAGCGACTTTTTGCCCCTAAAAAGGACTTCTGTCCCCAAAAAGCAACTTTTTTTTCCCCAAAAAAACTCACTTTTATTCCCCCTAAACGGACTTTTCCTCCCCCAAAAGTAACTTTTCTCCCCCCAGTGACTCTTGTCCTCAAAAAGGGACGACTCCTCCCCTTAAAAGTAACCTCTTCCCCTAAAAAAGTGACTTTTATCCTCAAGACGAACATTTCTCTCCCAATAAAATGCCTTTGTCCCCCAGAAGCAACTTTTTTTTTGGCTTCTCTTCCCAAAAGGCAACTTTTCTTCTCCAAATTCCCTCACAAAAACTTTTGCTCCAAAAAGAAACTTTCCCCTTCCATCTTTTCTCCCTTGCCTTTTATCTCCCTAAAAAACAACTCCGAAAAGTGACTGCCCAAAAAGCAACTTTACCCCCCCAAAATAACATTTTCCTCGCCAAAAAAAACTTCTATGCTCCACAAACCCGACTTCTCTCCCTCAAAAAGTGACTTTTACCCCCTCGAAACCAACTTCCCCGTCCCAAATCTCTCCCCTCTTCTCCCCCAATCCAACTTCTCCCCGAAAAAAACAAACTTTCTCCTCCAAAAACGT